AACCTGTACATGCAACAGCTCAGTGGTTCATTTCTCATAACAAATTAAATTGACATCCTGCTGATGCTTTTCACTCTGAGACAACGCGTGCTCACTCGTTGGTTTGGACTTTATGAAACACTCACATCGGGAGGATAAGCTAACAACAACTTTTAACAATGTACTTGAATTTCCCTTTTTTTTCCCGATCAGGTGTTTAAGCCATACAAAGCCTCGCAGCACGACATGTGTCGGTTCCACTCGGAAGACTACATAGACTTCCTGCAGAAGGTCAGCCCCAATAACATGCAGGGCTTCACGAAGAGCCTCAACACATTCAATGTGGGAGACGACTGGTGAGTATGTTCATTAACACGTTTAAGAAAATGTCTAGCAATTGAGTCACAGCACATAAACGCTCTCTGATCGCCACTATCAGGTTCTGATGTTCCTCTGTATCCCGCACGTTTGACTATTTGACTGTCTAACTATACTGCTGCTCTTCTTACTGCTCTGAAACGTTAGTGACGATCAGCTGACAGCCATCGGAGGAGGGATTAAACCCTAACACGTATTCTGTCCCTGTGTGTTTTTCTTTCAGTCCTGTGTTTCCTGGTCTTTTTGAGTTTTGCTCACGATACACAGGAGCCTCTTTACAGGGAGCTACACAGCTCAACCACAAGGTAACACACACACACACAAATACGATGGAAGTCAGTGTTGCTGCAGTAAAAGTCAGTGGTCTTTGCCATTCAAGCATTTCCACTGTCACAAAAATGACAGGAAGTGATTTAATTGTGGTATTATTTCAGTTGTGTGTTGACTTCCTGTCCCACACTGAGGCTGCTGGTTAAAGATGGACACGTGTTTAACAGATGATACCTAAGTCACTGGACATCGCACCGTCAGACAGTGTTAACACTTGATTGTGGAAGTGAAACAGCACCGACATGGCTGCAGCTCTACTGGTAGCCGCCTCAGGAGTGGTTTCGTGATTCGTTTATGTTGTTGTTGATAGTGATTCGGCTTTGTTTTCCAGATCTGTGACATCGCCATCAACTGGGCCGGAGGTTTGCATCACGCCAAGAAATTTGAGGTCAGAACAGAGTCTTGTATATTGGTGTCATTCCTTTCTGCTACACTCACTGAGTTCAGCTGCGAGTGTTTAAAGGATTAAAAGGAGTTTTCTGTGTTCGCAGGCATCTGGGTTTTGTTATGTCAACGACATCGTCATCAGTATCCTGGAGCTGCTCAAGTAAGAGGAAACTCCTCTGTTACAGTGTTTACGTGTTTACTGGGTTTGTTTCTCTCTTTATAACTGTCTGTGTGTGTGTGTGACAGATACCACCCTAGGGTTCTCTACATCGACATAGACATTCACCATGGTGACGGTGTACAGGAAGCCTTTTACCTGACTGACCGCGTCATGACTGTGTCCTTCCACAAATACGGGAACTACTTTTTTCCAGGAACAGGTACGAGCCGCTTTAAGCATCCATCGAGTGTTTTGTTAAAATAGTGTTTGTTTAGAGTACACGCTGTATATTTATACACAGACTCTGAAAGAACCATTCGTCTGCATGGACATTTTATCTTATCTAAACAGACACATAATTGGTTCATGTGTTCAGTCATGATTTCTTTTTAAATGTCGGATGTGTGAATTAACTGACAGCTATATAATAGTGAGTCTTAAACATATTTGTAGTGCATTTCAGCATCATTAAGCTTTAAAAATGGAGATCGTGACATTTCGTGGAGTGACTAATACCAGCTCTGATTCGTTAACACTTTTAAAATGTTGCAATCTGAGCTGCTTCAAAGGTCCAGTGTGTAACATTTAGGAGGATCTATTGGCAGAAATGGAACATAATATTCATAAATATGTTGTAATTAGTGTATAATCACCTGAAAATAAGAACAGCTGTGTTTTTGTTACCTTAGAA